GGCACCACGTAGGACATGCCTGCTTCCCCTTCTGCCATGATTGTAGGTTTCCTGAGGCTTCCCCAGCCATGCAGAACTGTGAGTCAATTAAACCTCTTCCCTTTATAAATTACCCAGGCTCAGGTATTTACAGCAGGGTGAAAATGGACTAATACAGGAAATTGGTACCTGGAGTTTGGGGCACTGCTACAAAGATACTTGAAAATATGGAAGAGACTTTGGAACTGGGTAATAGGCAGAGGTTGGAACCGTCTGGAGGGCTCAGAAGAAGATCGGAAATTGTGGGAAGGTTTGGAACTCCCCAGTGACTTACTGAAGGTTTTGACCAAAATGCTGACAGTGATATGGACAATTAAGTCCAGGCTGAGGTGGTCTCAGATGGAGACGAGGAACTTACTGGGAACTGGGGTAAAGGTCACTCATAGTATGCTTTCGCAGAGACTGGTAGCATTTTGCCACTGCCCAGATCTGTGGAACTTTGAACTTCAGAGGATGATTTAGGGTATCTGGTGGAAGAAATTTCTAAGCAGCAAAGCATTCAAGAGTTAACCTGGCTTATTCTGAAAACATTCAGTTATGTGCGTTCACAAAGGGATGGTTTGAAAATGGAACCTATATTTAAAAGGAAAGCAGAGCATAAGGATTTAGAAAATTTGCAGCCTGACCATGTGGTAGAAAAGAAAAACCCATTTTCTGCGGAGAATTCAAGCCAGCTGCAGAAATATGCATAAGTAATGAGGATTTGAATGTTAATAGCCAAGACAACAGGGAAAATGTCTCCAGGGTATGTCAGAGAATTTTGTGGCAGCCCCTCCCATCACAGGCCTGGAGGCCTAAGGGGGAAAAATGGTTTCCTGGGCCAGGCCCAGGGCCCCACTGCTCTGTGAAGCTGCCGGACTTGGTGCCCTGTCTCCCAGCCACTCCAGCTCCAGCCATGGCTAAAAGGGAACAAGGTACAGCTCAGCCCATTGCTTCAGAGTGTGCAAGCCCCGAGCCTTGGTGGCTTCTGTGTGGTGTTGGGCCTGTGGGTGCACAGAAGACAACAGTTAAGCTTTGGGAACCTCCACCTAGATTTCAGATGAGGTATGGAAACACCTGGATGTCCAGGCAGGAGTCTGCTGCAAGAGCTCTCATAGAGAACCTCTGTGAGGGCAGTGCAAGAGGAAATGTGAGGTTGGAACCCCCACACACAGAGTCCCCACTGGGACACTGCCTAGTGGGGCTGTGAGAAGAGAACCACCGTCCTCCAGACCCCAGAATGGTAGATCCACAGACAGCTTACACTGTGTGCCTGGAAAAGCTACAGATACTGAATGCCAGCCCATGGAAACCTGTAGAGCCACAAGGGTGGAGCTGCCCAAGGCCATGAAAGCCCAATCCTTGCATTAGAGTGGCCTGGATGGAGACATGGAATCAAAGGATATTATTTTAGAGCTTTTTTAATGAATGCCCTGCTGAGTTACAGACTTGCATGGGGCCTGTGGCCCATTTGTTTTGGCCAATTTCTCCCATTTGCAATGGGAACATTTATCCAATGCCTATACTCCCATTGTATCGTGGAAGTAACTAACTTGTTTTTTACTTTACAGGTTAATTGGCAGAAGCAACTTGCTTGTCTCAGATGAGACTTTGGACTTGGACTTTTGAGTTAATGCCGGAATGAGTTAAGACCTTGGGGCACTGCTGGGAAGGCATGAAATATGAAAAGGACATGAGATTCGGGAGGAAGCAGGGGCAGAATGATATGTTTTCGCTCTGTGTCCCCACCCAACTCTCTTCTCAAATTGTAATACCCACATGTTGTGGGAGTGGTCTGGTGGGAGGTGACTGAATCACGTGGGTGGATTTTCCCCTTGCTCTTCTCCTGATATAATTCTCAGGAGATCTGGTTGTCTGATAAGTGTGTGGCTCTTCCCCTTTGTTCTCCTTCTCCTGCCACCATGTAAGATGTGCCTGGCTTCCTCTTCCCCTTTGCCTTCCGCCATTATTGTAAGTTTCCTGAGACCACTCCCCACACCTCCACCAGCCATGCAGAACTGTGAATCAATTAAACTTATTTCCTTTATATATTACCCAGTCTCAGGTATTTCTTTATAGCACTGTGAAAACAGACTAATACAGCATTTGAGGCAAAAGAAGCAAGGTAAGGGTTTGATTGATTTCCATATTTCCTGTATTCTACCTTTAAGAAGGAGAAAGAAATCTCATCTCATGGACCTGGTTCATTTTAATAAAAGAAAAAAAAAAGCATCTACTAAATGGTAGGTCCATGGTAAGCCCAATTTCCTGGACCCATTGCACCATTAGCCACAGCCCAGAACAAGATAATGGATGCTTGAAAACATAAATTTCAATTCAAAATCCTGAATCATCAAGGAAAGCTTCGGTTATGTTCACTTGACTGGACTATCTCCTAAGCTGCAGGAAGAATGTTCTGTGCATATACTAAGTAAGCATGCTTCGATATTAGGAGCTCAATGGCAATTCAACACAGGTTTTCCTGTGTGGCTCCCAATTTATCAGAATCCGCAATCCCACCACCACCCCAGTCCATCCTCCGTTTTCCTAACACTGGGTTCCCGGGTTCTGACCAGCCCCCAACTTGATTCTAAACTCCCATTTCTAGCAATTTGCCAACTGAGAGCTAGCAAGGGGAGGCTAAGGCATTACTCACGGCCCTGCATTAACAATGGGGAAAGGGGCACTCAGTGACACTCAGCAAAATACCCAGGGTTGCACAATTGTTGGAAGAGGGTCAGAACTGGAATCTGGGCTCAGAAACAGAGTGAACCCACTGCATTCAAATGTGAGCTCCAGAAACCTTAGCTGTGTGATCGTGGACAAGTGATTTTCTCTCTTGAGGTTTTCACATATTTATACAATGGAGATAATTTCCACCTAATAGTACCGTGTGAGAATTAAATAAAATTAGTACATTTGCATATTTGCATATATAGTTCCTAGCTAGGTAACTGACTTCCCTCTCACAAAGTCTTAAATTTTCCTGGATCCTTTTTGGGAAACCGGTTCCAGGTTTTGGTATTATCAAATCTGCTTCCAGGTGATGGAATAATTCTAGAAAAAAGTAAAATTGAGGCTCAGGCAGTAACGGCTTTAGCTATTCCCTTTCCCAGACTGGGCAAGGCAGGGCTGCAGGTGCTGGCTGAGAAAGGTGGGAAGAGAAGAAAGAGGGAGCCCACATGCTTCCATAGGACCCCCCGGTTTTTCAGTCAGTGCGTACTGAACACAATGTACATGTGAAAGGACATGTGAATCCTTGTATGACTGTCTGCACTCAACAAACTTCTTGTGCCTTTTTTAACTATCACATATTTCAGTATTCACTTCAATTTAACTAAACATATTGCTAGAGACAGAGAGATGAATGTATTTTAATCCTTTTTTGTGCCACCTAAAAAGAGCAAATGAAAGAGGAACAATTGTTAAGCCGTCTCTCCAGCCAGATCCCGACCAACACCTGCAAATAGACACACACACACTCACTCACACACACACACACACACTCATACAAACACCAAATTCCACGTTTCTGGGAAAATGCCCTACTCCCACCCCACCCTTCCTGCTGGTTCCTTAGTTTCCGAGAAGGCACCCTCTCCGGGCTTGGTAACCTCCTTGAAGAAACCTGTTGCTAAGTCTGAGGTCCTGTGTGGACGCCCCCACCTGGTGGCCGAACCTGGAAAAACGTTTCCAACCAAGGAAGACTGGCAGGTAATGTAACTAACTCCAAGGCTCCTGAGCCCTTCCGACCCCAGCAGTCATGGGTGAACTGGAGGAGAACAGAGAGGAAAATCCACTGCTAAACGCTTGGAGGATGGAGGCGGAGGGGGATGTTGCCAAGGTCATGGGCAATTCCGTGCCAAAACCCTGGTACAGTACAGCTTCCTAGAAGCAGTCATCAGGATGACTAAACCAGAGCCAGGAGGCAGAGCTTGATGGCTGGACGTGCCCTGCAAGCTCCGAGATGGGTGCTGACAGCACAGATTTCCAATCTTGAGTGAGGAGCACCCCCGCCATCCTCTCCCCCCTCCCAAATACGGGTGGATTTTCCATCCCCAGTGGCAGGTGCAGAGGGAGTTCCTTCTTCCTTCTGGCCATGCATTTACATCCGGACTAGCAAGGAGATTCTTTCTAGGAGAACAGTGCCTCGGCGCAAACCTCCAGGCCAAGCCCCTCACATTCCCGGTGCTCTAGCCCAGCCAAAGCAGGAGAAGTGGCAGCAACTGAGGCTGAGGGAATATCAGATCCCAAATCAAGGAGATGTTTCAGCCAAAAGAGTCCCCGGCCCCCTCACCTCCTGGCTCTGTGAAGCCCCAGCCCCTCAGCCTAGGCTTAGACACACACATTCCCATTCACTTCCCTAAAAGGAATCCTAAGACATGCATTTTGGCCAGTCCCAGCTCCCAGTCAGAGCAGCACCAGGTTCTTCTTTGTACCAGTACCCAGCGATCAGAAGGGTGGCACAAGCAAGCAACAGACAGACACACACACACACACACTCCCCACTATGGGTGGTGCGCACCCCTCCCATCCCCAACTAAACTCAGTGGCGACCCCAACAGAAGGGATCCACCCGAAACAGCAACACAGCGCTCATGGGAGGACCCGCTTTATCTTCTTCAACCCTCACATTAATTGGAAAAACCCACATAATTTTTTTAAGCTTCCAAACCAACACACCGAGAAGATGTCATAAATGCGCACCCGCGCGCGCACACATCCGCCCAAATCAGCAGGGGAACCACGCTTCGTTTTTTAAGCCCCCGGTGTGGAACACCCGGAGAGCGGCTCACAGAGACACACATACACATACACACACACACACACACACGGAAACGCGCGCTGAGGACAGGCTGGTCTCCCATTCAGCGGGAAAGCATCCGTGGGTTTTAAACCCCAGAGACTTTTCAGCTCCAGCCCCGACCCCGAGCCCCCACGCGCGCCGCCGCCGAGGGCGCCCCGAGCGGCCGGGTACTCACACCAGCGCGTGGTAGAGCAGCGCCCAGCCCCGTGGTCTCTCCAGGGCGTCGTAGATCAAAGTTTGGATGCGCCGATACTTGGCGTTGTTCCTCTTGACGGGGCGGGTCAGCGGGGTCTTGGCCAGAAGCCCGATGCCCTGCGGGGTCCTCCGCTGCCCCTCGTCGCGGCCGCCGCCCTCCAGCAGCAGAGTCCCGTCTTTGTCGGCTCCGGCCCCGAGCGCCAAGGTGACTTGCTCCACGTCGCCGGGCGCCAGTCCCACTTTCCGCTCCTCGTCGCCGGCCGCCGCCGCGTCCCCCCCGGCTGGGTTAGCGGCCCCGCCACCTCCGCCGCCCCCGTCGCCTCCGCCGCCAGCCGCCCCCGCCGCCCTGCGCGCCTTGAGCCCCATCTGCCTCGCCCCCGCCGGCCGCTTCGCCTTCTCCGCTGCTGCTCTGGGAAGAAGGGGCGCTCGGGGTGCGTGAACGAGGCGGCGGCGGCGGCTGCAAGCCCGGGAACTCCAATGCCATGATCCGCGCGCCCCTCCCCACCCACCCCCCCAAAAGCAGGCAAAGGCGGACCCCCTGGGGGGCAGGGGAGGCCTGGCAGGGGGTCAGGGGGTCACATTCCGCGCAGGTCAGCCGCGGGACCCCGAGGGTCGCGGTTCGGGGGCTGCGGGGAGGCTGGGAGGGCGCGCAAGGCTGGCGCGGAAGCGCTAGGGCGCGCGGCAGCGGGAGCCTGGAACCGGCGCTCCGGGGCGGCGGCGGCGGCGGCGGCACCCAGGCCGGCAAGCCCGAGACAGCATCGCAGTTTATTTACAAGCCCGGTGCCAGCCGCCCTCCCGCCCGCCCGCCACACGCGCCGCCGCCGCCGCCGCCTCCTCCCTCCTCCGCGCTCCCACCCGCGCCCCTCCCCGCCCGCTCCAGCCTCAGCTTCGCAGTAGCAGCAGCAGCAGCAGCGAGCGCGCCGCGGGCCGAGCGCACGCCGCCTCCCTCCCTCCCTCCTTCACCGGGGTGGGGCCCCATTGTCCCGCCCCGTCGCGGCAGGAGGCCTGGGCGGCGGCGCCCCGCCTCTTCCCACCGACCCCCACTCCTGATTGTCTGGGGACCCCGGATCTCCTGGGCTGCCGCCGTTCCCGTTACAGCCAGGCAGTGCGCTAGGCGGCCGCAGAGCCCGGCTCCTCGAGCTTGCGTGGGCGTTGGGGCTTCCCCTGGATGGGGCGTGCCGGGGGCCAGCGGGGGAAAGAAGAGGGAGGGAGGAGGGACGGGGGGGTTGTCTCCCACCGAACACTGGCTCTGTGCTTGCAGCTTTATGAATTTCCCTCACCCCCTACCCCTGCTCCTCGGCTTCAGAGGTAAAATCCAAGTTGCTGGGTTGGCCAAGGCCGAGCGCACCGCGAACGCACCGGCTCTGGGGTGGCGAAGCTGGTGACTCCCTCTTCCCTCTGGTTCGTGGTTCATGGTGGATACCGTGGCCCTCTCCTCCCCAAGCCTTTGAATAGCACCTTCACTAGCCTGGGTGGGCAGAGGACTGAAGAAATGCAGTCAGAATCTTTGGTTCCTGCTTTGCTCCCGACTTACACCCAAGCCAGTCATTCCCTCTCTCGTCTAAATTTCAATTCATTCAACCGGTCTCTAACCCCTCATGAGCTTCCCTGGCGAAGGGTAGTGATCTCTGTCCTGAAGATATGAGGTCTGTGCACCCCTAAGACCTGCATCCTAGCCGGTGGAAGACAATGAAAAGACAAATTTTAACTGTAGAATTTCCAGTATTGGTAAATACTATGTGGTAACAAAATAGAGTGCTGCACTATAGTCACTGGGGGAGTCTCTCTAAACTGGCCGGTCCTGGAAGGCCTCATTGTGGAGGTGACGCTTCGAGGTGAGACCCTAATGACAAGCTGGGAGCAACTATGTAAATGTGCAGAGAGCCCTCGAAACAGCAGAACAGCAGGTGCAGAGGGGAAGGGTGGCTTGAGCTTAATGAGAGTAGAGGAAAGTGAGGCCACAGGCAGAGGCTAGACCTTGTAAGACACTGACAAAGGACAGGAGCATCCTGCACTTCTTCCATGACCACCGCCATCGGAGAAGCCTCCACTCCTGCTACCCCGTGGCACCTGGGGCCTCCTTTCCTTCCCACTCTCACACCTCATGTCTGTCAGCTGGGGTGAGAGACGTGGGGTGAGGGGAGAGCCTGTGAACAAGGCCAACGATCTATCCCTAGAGTATAAGAAAAGAGGAATCAGGCCTGCAAGAACACCAGCTCTGGATTTGCCTGGAGAAGTTAGCCAAGGAGAGCATAGGAGACAGGGAAGGGAAGAAGGAAGGGAAGAGAGTAGGAATGTGTGGGCTGGGGCAGGGGAGGGGTCAGAGAACTATCACCCTATAGTATGACTGTCAAAGGGGAGAATCTCAGAAGGGGTCTCCAAATCAAGAAGGGGGGAGTTTCCAGAGGAAGTTAAACTATAAGAATGAAATAATTAGAACAGTGTGGGATCGATACAAAAATAAACTCTCAGTGCAACAGAATTGTTTGTCCAGAAACAGACTGTAGTAGGGGAACTTAATATTCAACGGGAAGAGTTGTGACAAGAACCCCAGGGGAAAATGCTGTTCACTGGTTGATGGGTTTTGTGAGGATTATAGTTGAAATAGCACATGGAAACGTGGCAGTGCACAGTGGGACCCCTGTAGGTCTATGAGTAGATTAATGCTCAGTAGTGAGTTGGAGGAAGTAACCAGTCCAGCAGGCTCTGGAAAGGAGAAAAGCCCAAGGAAAGGGAATTACTTGCATTAGAATATCTCCAAATGGGAGCTGGGTACCACAAAGCCTTCTCCTGCCCACGTGTTAGCCCTGCCATGCCCAACACACCAAACTCACCTGTGTCCTACTCCCATCCCAACTAACCAGGAAACAATCTTCCCCTTTATCTCAGAGCACCTTTTCCAAAGTTGCTGTTCTCCCTCAGTCTCTTCCTGTTTTTTTCATTCATTACATTTATCACTGCCAAAAATGATCGTATTTACATTCTGTTTACTTGTGTACTGTTACCTTACTAAACAAGAGCAGGGACTAAGCATCATGGTTTTGAATCCTGGAAGTGTGTCTGTGATATCACAGGTTCTCAATCTGTGTTGACAGCATGAATAAATGATGAATAAGTGAATGAAGAGTGTAAAGCTCCCAGCACAATGCCTGGCACACAAGCATTCGATGTATGTTTGTGGGTGAGATTTTGGTTTGGTTTCGTTTTACCATTGTAAAAGTCTTCGTACTTAGGAAGTCTTGCTGTCCTTTATGACCCCTGTGACTTTAAAAACATTTTGACGGTATTTCAAATAAAAAGGCTCACTAGATAAACATAAAAAGAAGACAAGTCAAGGAATGTGGAAAGAAGATGTGAGAATTTATTATTGCATACTTAATCAAAAGTTCAGATTCCCAGAATGACAGTTTGGATCCTCAGGTACATGAAGAGACTTCTGTTTTAATGGGAGCTTCAGACTGTCAAATATTACAATTTAAGATAAGGTGCAGGGGCTATTTTCATGCCTCCCATAAAAGATGAGGTTAAGTCAATAACAAATTCATAACTGAGCCAATTAAACTCAATGACAGGGAAACTGTCAGGTAGTTGAGTCTAGGAAATGGAGTGCTTCGATAGTTTTATAATCCAATGGCGAGCAGTGTTTAGGTTTCTAATAGGGGCTTTGGAAATGTCGTGAAAAGCAGGGTGTGCACTGAGTGTCATTTAAGGAACTGCATAATCACAGCGTTCCACAGCACAGGTTTCAGCTGAAGGAAATCAAACATCCTATATCCCTTTGGAAGGAAACTTATTGGAGGCCTGAAGTCCCTGAAAGCCTCAGGTTCCAGCGGAACATGGCACCAAAGCAAAGAGTTAGCAACACACTATCAACAAGGACAACAATGAGGCTTTCCTCTCCTGGCTTTGAGCCCCAGCTCAAAGTGTAACATTGAAAACCCAGCCACCTGCTTCCCCTCCTCCATGCCTTAGCTTTCATTTTTGCTTTTCTCTTTAGCTGGTCTTCATCTCAGTGCATAGGCGAGATATCCAGGTAAACCCTCTCTGCCTTGCAGGTGAGGTACTTCCTGGGAATGAGTAAAAAGGGAGAGACAAAAGGGCTTTCTCTGAGCCTGCATTTCTGCCTCTGTAAACCCAGGGTTGTAAGTATCTCGTGATGAGGTCATATTCCAGTGATGGTGGTTGTGACTGTCATTGAATGAGTAGGACAGAGTCTCAGGTTCACAGGCATATGCAAATGGTGGTCCTGCCTGCCCCTCTCACTCTCTTCCCTAAACACATTAAATAATTGCTTTAGGCTAATTTTAAATTTACTTTTATTATTTGTTACACAAGAAATGCAAAGTAGTTGTTAGGAAATTATGAAATGTAAATCAGCCAGAAGGCAATAGTAATCATCTTGTTACCCAGAAATACCCTCTATGAATATTCTGATCATGACTACTGCCAACAGGACTGCAGCATGCCTGACCTGCAAGCAATGGATGCTCAGCCCCCAGTGGGGCACCTTTCCTAGGGGACCAGTCAGCCACCTGGTGGCAGGTTGATTACATTGGACCTTCCAAACATGGGTGGGGGTGGACATGTGCCATTACTGGAACAGACACGTATCCTGGATACAGAATTGCCCCTCCAGTCCTCAGTGCTTCTGCCAACAACCCCATCTAAGCACTTAGGAATGCTTTATTCGCCATCAAACAATTCCACATGAAACTACTTCGGATGAAATAATTTGTCCCCTAAATGCTTACTCTGGACCTGGATATAAATCTACCTCTTAGAGGAACCAGTGAGACAGGTCTTTGTAGCCAAAAAGAGCACTCTTTGCTTATTTGGAGAAGACAGGACAAGCTCTAATTCTGGGTGTAGGAACAACCCAGGCCAAAAGGAAATATGTGTGGGAACAATGGATCCCATTACTACCCTGTAAGCATTTTTTATTCTTGAAAATCCAGTCTCAGCAAATCGTCAAATTTGCTGCCCTCTTCCCTTCCTCCAGGTCTTCCTTTTGTCTTGCCCTTTCCTAGATGTCGTATCACTGTACACTAGGACAGAGGAACTCTTTTTTCCCTTACAGGGAGAAGCCTTCCTGGGAACGAACGAGAAGAAGCTAAGGAACACCCTTGTACGTGTCACTCAGCAGAGGAGGGCAGAATAGAGTTCAGCATTTAGATCGTCCTGGCTCTGTGACTTTGCGCTTAGTGACCTCAAACAAGTTGCCAGACTTATTTCTAGCCTGCTTCCTCAGCTGTACAATGGGACAATGTTTATTATCCTCCCTGCGTCAGACTTCGTCTGAGTATCCTTCCTCCCAGGATCCATGTTGAGGTAGGGCTTTGCAGCCTGTGATGTACTGTGCGCATTGACTACATTACTGGAAGGCATCTGAC